TTCTGTTTTTGCTTCCACATTTGGATCTGTTATCGGGTCAATCTTCGGTTCATCACAGGACGCACGAGCTTGAAAAACCAGGGCTGTCACAGATTCAGTTTGTGTAGGATACAAGATGTAGGAAGCTTAAATAAGTATTAAATTATTCCTATTTTGTAATAGCATGATATTTTATTATTATGTTAATTGTTGGATTAATTGATGTATTATTGTATTTGTTACATTCATTATTGGACTATGTAGATGTAGTACACCAGTATGGGATAGTGGCATTGTAGGGACATATTAATTTATTAGTTAAGTCCTACCTATTTTGTGTAAGGGAATGGATTAACTAAAATGTTAAGTCCTACTTATATTTAAGTCAGGTCAGTTGAACAAGTTGAATGACTTATAAAGGATTCTTATAGAGGATTAATTTATACTAGATAGGATGGTTACTAGATTATATATATATAATTATGGTGCCATGATATGAACTTGAGTCTCTGGTTCAGTGGTTAGGGCGCGTATATCGCCAGGGATGTATAGCTAGATATAGTGTAGTTGTGTGCCTTAATAGGTCTAGGTACTCATGCTCACTATATGTGCGTTTTGCATATTGCCTACTATTCAGGTTGAGGCAACCCTATAGTCTAGTGAGGTTCCTTTAAAGTGTATTTATATATACATACAGACTACTAGTTATTGTTGAATTGACTAAGATGTATACGTGTATCGAATCTCTGCTTGGACTGTAGTAGAGTAGAATTTATTTGTGGGCCTGACCCACCATTATTTCTCAAGTGTTCGTTAGGAGTAGAAGTTGTTCTTGCTGAGCAGGGATCAGTCTATTTCATTCTTCCGATTCTACATAGGAGATGCTTTTATGCTTCGTTCTTTAGTTGTAGACAGTTATTACTGTCACTTGTTTAGATTGGTTTTTAGGGGTCCACACAATATGGATTTTTGAGTTGTATTAATGGAGGATTTATTGTATCAAAATAATTTTATTATTAATGGAAATTTATTAAGAGGTTTTATTATTGGATTATTCTTTTAGTTTTCTTTTAGCAAATTATTTATTCCTATTTATTCTTTTGTACTCTGTGTTCGTTTATTGCCGATTTGTTTTTTATATCCCCGGGCATTCGGGTGTGGGCTTGGCCAACCCACATTTGGAAATCCGGGGTTATCACAAAACCCAATGACCATCTTTATTTAAATTTCATTTATTTTATTTCTGCGAGTTAATTTCTTTCATTGCACTTCATTTTTCATATCAGTTCTTTGACGTAGTCTTTTCCATTTAAGCATTGTTGTTTTCTTTTAACACTTTAAAAGTCCTTGCATCCAAGGCAAAAAAATAACCTAGCCAAGAGTTCTTACTATTCTCCCTCTTGCACAATCGCTTGACGTCAACCACTATTAAAAAAGGATAGTTGGTGTTCACAATTTTGAGTTATAAACTCTGGCACGCCTGTAAAAATCCATCTGCCTTGTGAGCCAAATTTAGCACGAACATAAATTGGCACACCTGGTGAGACACCACTAGGGTTGTGAAAAATCTACAATGCCTCGGTAGAAGAATTCTAAGGTCATTGCCACTGATGATGATCTGGAAGAAGAGAATCAGCCAACTCAAGCTAGTAGTTTTACATTGGGCCCTGCAGAAGAACTAGCAATACGATCAAAAATATCAATGGTGAAGCACAGGTGAGCCCGTTGGTAAAAGCAATAGGGAGAATGAGTGCACGTCATAGTGATTTGCACAAAACCATATCTCAACTTTCAGCCGCTATGATGAATAAGACGGCTCAAGCTAGCAGTTCTAGCAATCCAGAATCAGTTTCTCAACCGATCTCGACGCAAGTTGTTCAGCTTTCAACAACTGCCCAGCCGTCACAGACACGACCGCCAGTGGTTTTGTTGCAACCAAGCATAACGGTAAGTCCGCCAGTAAGTGCACTTGTAGTTTGAACAAAAAATCAATCGTAGCTGACTACATTGGTGTATCAGCAATCACCTACTTATAATTAGCTATCAATGATAAGTCAGCCATTGCGGCCACAGGTAAGCCCTCCTATTCCACCCCGGATTCCTTTTAACCCAGGGGATAATCGGGTAAGGTGAACTTCTAATCCATTCGGTGTTACCTACCGAATAACCTAAAGTGTTACCTACCACAAAATCATACTTTTCATTGCCATTAGAACCTCCAAAACATGACACTAATGTATCTTCAAGGGAACTTTCCGAAATAAAAACCTACTCACTCACAATTTGCCATATAATGACACTTCACCATCTTGGCGCCCGAATTTTTCCATACCATCTTAGACATCTAATTTAGAAAAATCATTCAACTGTTGATCATCAATTAATTCATATGGTACGCTTTCAACATCAAATTTCTTGTCACCGTCTTCTTCTTTTGTCATGTTAAATTCCTTAATTGCATTAACTTCAAGTACAAGAGGTGAATCAACAAAATTTTTCTCGTGATCAATCTCTATAAAATCACTTGTTGCTTCAATAGAATTATTTTGATTCTTGATGCCATTATTTATCTTTTTTGTAAATTTCCTTTGTAGACTTCTTAACAAATGGACTCTCTTTCTAACAATTCTTATATTTTTTATACATCAACTCCTCATAATTTGTTGATAAGAAATTAGCCATCAATAGCCGTTTCATCTTGTACCACGACTGACAGGTTGTTTTCCTTGCTTCCTCCGGTTAATATGTGTTTGCTCCCAACAACTGAAGCCTATTAAGCTTGAAGGCAACAAGTGAAACTTGCTTGCTTTTAGATACATCAAAATACTCAAAAAAATTCTTTAACTTCTTTAAGCCAACCCAAGACATCTTCAATAGCAACACTTCCATTGAATGTAAGTAGATCAAGTTTTACCTGAAATTCAAGATTGTCCGGATATCTATGATTTCTGTTGCATTACCTCGATCATTGAATCCAAGCTTTTTCACATCGAAATAATCCGCATAAGCTGGAGGCCTACGTGGATAAATAGGAACATAACCCATATTCCGTTGTCTGTGAGACACATCATCAGCGTGAACTCAAACTAAACACGAACCTGGTTGCCACCAATCCCAAAATCAGTTGCCATGAACCGTTCTTGAGTATGCATGGTTGCCCAAGGGACCTTCATTGTGCAATCAATATCGGCAAAGTGGGTGCTACCAAAACGATCAATTACCATTAAATCAGAGAAAATCAAGGTTCTGATACCAACTGACGTAACAGAAAACTATATATTATTCACAAGGAACATGGTTACTTTGAATCCAAAAAGTAGGGTAACTTTGAATCTACAAAATTGAATAAGAATTGCAAAGTAACTGAAATATTATTAATCAAAAGTTAAAATTTTCTCTTGTACATGCATATTTATAATAGAGAAACCTAACACTAAAAGGAAACTAAAAAAATAAGAATACTAATTCTAGAAATAAGCCTAGAAATAAAATTTTTGAAAAAATAGAATAAGAAACCTAATCAATAAAAACTACGAAATATAAAATCTCATAGTATTCTGACTTCATTTAGGCCATGAAAAATAATTCTGAAATAGTCAACAAACCTCCTATAAGACAGAAAAACGCAATTTTGGAATCCTAAACGAAGGTTTTCAATTGCAAACTAACACGGTCTACAAGCTAAAGCTAGTAAGTTTTTCTCAATGGGTCATTTCTACCCAAAAAACACTATTTTCGAGTGGAAAACAGATTTGTCGAACTATCCAAAATTTTGTCCTACATCACACTCTTATTTCCTAGTCATGTAAAATCCTTTTCCTCCTCATAGATTTGTGATTACACTTGGGCCTGGTGGGCCTTTTTCTTGCTTCTGGTAGGGCTACAACTCGGGCGGGTTGAGTGGGTTTGAGGTATAACTTGAGCCCAATTTACCATATGAAATGTTAAACCCAAGCCCAACCCTAACCCTATCTTCAACCCTAACTACTCAACCCGAGCCCAACCCATCCTTCTACTTTTAAATTCGGACTTGCAATTCGGGCTTAAATTCCGGGTTAAATCTTCGGGTTAATTCGGATTACTCATATGATTAGTCTTTACATCAAAAATTTAATATGATCTTAAATTAGTTTTAAATTAAATTACTCTTAAACAATAAAAAGTTTGAAGTCTTTTTGTAGAATTTTAATAAATTATAAACAAATTCTTAGAAAATTAATTATCCTAAATGTTTAATGCACAATAAGTTAAGATTTAACAAAGAAAGTTAAAAAGAAAAAAAGTAATCATAATTTTAATATTATATATAATGTATTTAAAAATAAAAATATATATGAAAATAATATTAGAATTCGAGTTCGGGTTGACTTTAACCCAAGCCCAACCCTAATTAAATTCGGGTTGAGCTTTTTCAATCCCAACTCAACCCTAATTGTAAAAAAGATTTTCCAAACCCGTAAAAAATCGGGCTGGGCTCGGATTATCCAACCCAAGTTGCACCCCTAGCTTCTGGTCACGTGCTGGATCATAGACGAAATGGGCCTTTCTCTACCCAGTCAACCGATCCGCCCGTTGAACCCAACTCTCTATTCTTCTCAAGTTGCCCTATATGGGGACACGTGTCTTTTTGTAGCTGGGCCCTTCTCGCTCTTGTGTCACGCTCTTATTGGGCGGGATTTTTCCCTCAGAATAACCCTCTGCAGAGGCTTCACCGATTCAACATTTTTTTCTTTTATTTTTCATGTTTAAAGTGAACACATATAAAGGTCGGCGATTTTCATATGAATTTACTAAATTTGATAAATTATAACCTTATATTAAATATTTAATATGTACTTCTTTATAGGTAACGCTCGAGAGGAGGAAGGAGAAGTAACATTTGTGTGCTAAGCAGACATGACAAACGAAAAAGAAACAAGAAAAGATAATTACTGAGATAGGATCCTTTTGGGTTCTCACAAGTTTATATAAATGATAAATTGATAGGAGAGAAAATCGAATTTACCCATTTGAGCCCTGCATTTGCAACCGAAGTGTCATTATCTTATAAATAAAATTAATCAATCCAGAAAAAAGAAAAGAAAATACAGCATGTCATTCTCTTGCAGCTTTCAACATGAATATAGGCTACATAGGTCTCTCTCTCTCTCTCTCTATATATATATATATTTATATATATATATTTACAGTTTATGGATAACTACCGATCCAGCTACCTTATTGACGTCTACATTTTCAACTTGAAAAAATAAGACAGCTAAAAAAGAGTGTAATCTAATGGTACAATTTACAAATCTACGAAGATGTGCTTTTGTCTCCAACTAGTTTCACTTCAAGGCAGGAGAGTACCTATTTACAGAGTCTCCAATCAGGCACCCCGCACCAGCATATATAAGCTAACCGACAAGTTGCCTTCTAACTCTTGAATGTTTGTACCAGATTCGGCTTGCAGGAGTAACTACTAGCTCACCCAAATAAAGAGTCATTCACCGCATGAAGTATAGAAAGCATTCTCAAATGAATAATGATCTTAACCCCGAACAGCTGTAATGCCCAGTACCTGAAAAATATCAGCTGTATTAACAAAACACGTAGACTAACGCGTCAAGCGCACTATATCAAAAAAATGGTTATCAAGAGAAAAAGATCATCTCAGCTATCAACCTTTTTTTTTTTTCCTTCTCTTTTGTAAGTGGCGCCAATTCTCTCACTCCCTGATATGATGTTGTAGCCTTCTGAACACGACCTCTTTATAGAATCTTTTTGTGCGAAAGAACAACATCAATGCAGTAAGAGATCCAAAAAGAGTAGCACATGCCATGATTAGGAAGGACAACATAAAGCAGTGAGTTCCAGTGCATACGTTCCCCTCCTTCGATGCTTCTTTGTCGTAAATATACCCAACCACCCTCACAGAGAGAATATAAGATCCAACAGGACTTGCAATGGTAATGGTGTTGAATATTGTCCCCATATGCAATACACCGAATACCTCAGAAACGATTGTTGGCATTAATGACCATTGCGAACCATAACAAACACCCACCAGAATTGAACCAATATATAGGGCACCTGGCAAACCAGAAGCAATCACAACATAACCAATGCTCATTGTTGCAAGAGTAATGACCATGAACACCGGCCTTGCCCATTGATACATATGCAAGAAGTAATCTGATACATAGCCAGCTCCAAAACGACCAAGAAAATTCCAAATACTCCACAGTGAAACCAAAGTACTTGTCTCAAAGTCCATGTAACCAAGAGATCCTCCTATCTGGCTGATGTTATTCACTGTGGCGAGTCCTGAGCCCATACCACAAGCTGTGGCAACAAACAAAAACCAGAAGTTACAAGTGCGAATAGCTTGCAACAGATTCAGGTTTTCTCCCTGCTGCAAAGTCTCGTTGTTAATATCTGTCTCTTGATCAGCACCACCGGGCAGCTGATGATAACCACTAGGATCTTGTCTAGGGTATGTCTTCTCTGCGTCCAACCGGTTGGGATCATCTATCACTTGGTCATCCTCAATAAAGGAGATCCTTGAAATTGTACAATATTCCCTCTGCATGGCTTTGATTGTGATGCAAAGAGGTGACAATAGCAAAAGAATAAGTACAACAAATTTAAAAATACGAACTGACCATTGCAACATGAGGGCGTTCTCTAAAATTATAATGACCATGAGATAAGCAGCGATAATCAGGGCAACCAATGAGAAACCATTTAGGTACTTCTTCTCGTCTTCTTCATTCGTGTTATAGATTCTTACAAAACACATTAGCAACAGAGGGTTGACAGTGGGCAACAGTGCCAACATCAACAGATACGACGTAGGTTTGTTCTTGAATATTGTCCCATAAATTTGAATTAATATTGCTCCACTCAAACCAAGAAAACCCTAGCCAGAAAAGGAAGACTATTAAGGCATTACATGAACTTCAAAAAATCCAATGAGAATATAAACATCAAACTGGAACATTGACAAACAAATATGACATAACTAATGCTTCACGAGCATCTTAGGTTTAAAATCCACCCCTCATGATTAATACTTACCAATAAATTAACATTAAAAAAGAACTCAATTAAATATGTAAAGTCAAACAATGAGTATAAATGATGAATTATAAACATACAGAAACATCATCAATGAAGTCCCTCACACTTCAAGTTTCATTAATGTTTTAACACATCTAAAGGACTAAGAAACATGTATAGATTCATGACACACAACATGACACGGACAAGGCAACATAGAAAAACCTTACAAAATTAAGACACAGCGAGGACATGGCGAAAAGTAAATTTTATATATGAGATAATATATTATAAGCAAGTTAAGAATAAAAATCCCAGATTATAATAGCAAATGAACTATAACAACAATTTTCTTATTTAAGAAGAGAGAATGGGCTAAAGTATAATTTCTAAACTCCCTTTATAAAATCTCTTGTAATCTAAATCCATAACTAAACAAAATTACACTTGTATAAAGAATGAGAGAAAAAGGGGAGACATCGAAGAGAGTATAGGCTGAAGTAGAAATTCAAAAGCCTCTCAAAAATTTGGTCTTTGCTAAAAGAAAAGAGAAGCTTTTTAGGAGGGAGAGAATCAATTAAAGAAAAATTAAAAGGAAATAAGAAGAATTAAGTTTTTGTTGCTGAAAAAAAAAATAGTGCTTACCTACCCAAAAAAATTAGCACTTTGGTGATAATAAGAGAGAGAACATGAAGAGGATGAGCATGGTTTGTGATAGCAAGAAAGAAAATAGAGATAGAAAAAGAATTTATTGAAAAAGAAGAACACTCACTGGCAGTCAACTACACAGTCTACACGTGACTGACACCACACTTCAACCTTTTAGACGTGTCCATGGTTTCTAGTCGAAGAACTTTCACCAGTTATTTGATATCTACAAGAAAGTGATCCTCTGTCAGCAAGTAAACTATGCTTCCAAGTCTTCAAAAGAACTCCATGGCCACTGTTTTGTTATAAATTAATTTTCAATTAGTTTATGCTGATTGCATTTCAAACATGCTCTGTGAACCTTTTCCTCAAATATGTACTCCAAATTTTGACCACCCAATGGTAAAAACTAATTAAATAAGAATTTCCAAGTTCCCAACCATATAAAAAGACATCCTTACAGAATGTAGTATGGACGTGGCCTCTCTTTATAGGGATTATCTAATACTGATCAAGCAACCACTGAAAGTTGAGCATATCAGCATAAAAAGGAAAAGATTTGGGCAGCCCATCTCATAAAAAACTCAAGTGCACAGAAAAGCAACTTCATTAATTGACTTTAAAGTGTTCAACCACGTGATGACACCAAGCCAAACTGAATTTTGATGCACTTGATCCACTGAATCTAAATGTCGCAAACTAGATGGTACACCTAACCTATCTTGTGTTGACCACGATAGAAAGAGAGGAGCAATGGTCATTCTTGAACACATCGTAAGAGAGCTTTTGTATACCTAAATTTCGTTTTTTAATTTTAATTTCACTTTATTGATGCTTGAAATGTAATTGGGTTTAGGAAATGGATTATATTCCTCATTAGAGAAAGACTGAAAATAAAATGAGAAAAGATAAGAAAAAAATAGTTTCTGAACAAGGACAACCAATGACTACATCTGCAGAGTGACATGCTCCATATTGAAGGTAATTCAAAGGAGAATGAAAAATTGATGTGACTCGAGATTAAAAAAAAAATACATAATAGCAGTATAGCAAGTGGTTTGACTTTGACTATAAGTGTGACCCTAAACTGAGAAGAACTGCAAAATAGGATTCATGTAGTCAACTCCAAATGATGTAGGACAAGATAGCAATGTGATACCAGGTCAATGAGAAAACAGACAAAGGGGGTGAGAAGACAGATTCAAAAGATAGGTTGGATCGACTGAAAGGCTGAGAAGAGCAATAACCATGAGGGAGAAGAAAACACAGAGAGAATTCTCAAACCACCCTTCTAGCTCTTAAAACGATTGATTTTCCACAGATGATACCCTCCCTCAAATACTCCACCAATTCCATCTTCTGGGCGTCAGCATACCTTCCTACCTGTGCTTGGAGGTGCCAGGAAGAAAGCGAATGAATAAGCATTTTTTTTCTTGGTTTGAACGGGATCTAAATATTCCAATAATCAAAGCTATTTTTTTTTTTTTGTTTACACGAGGGTCTTTTATATAGCCAAAATATTAAGTAAAACCCTAATAAACCATCAAATATGAACATACCAAAATAACCTTAGAATCCACATTACCAAAAAATAACAAGAAATAGAATTATGTAACCCTAATTTACAAAAATAATTATATTTCTCTTTTCCTCTTTCCCAAAAGTAATGATAAAACACGTGCAACTCATGTGTGCAAAACATGCATAAACAACTAATGTTTGTTGAGTCAATGAATTTGCAAATCGTCGATCAATCGAGAGAGATCCAAAGAGTTTTATTAATAGGTCGAAGTGCTGATCCATCGAGCTTGTCGGTAACAAAGGAACTTGGAAAGTCCTAAACACGTAAGAACCTGTATTCCCATGCAACTTTCTAACACCCAACCTTTTTTTACCACCTCAATTTCCATATTAAAGTAGGAATTGGAACCCTAGAGCTCTGTATAAGGAACCACACCCCCTTATTCCAAATCACAGCTCTCAAACCCTAGGTTTTTTATTTATTTATTTTTTTTATAAATTAGTCTGTTTTTGTCTTGGTGGCTTTGGGTCTTAACTCCCAAACCCTAGGTCAAGGTTTCGAGATTGGTAGAAAGAGAAGAAAGAAAGAAAGAAAAAAAAACCCTAGGTTTTGAGAAATCTCTCTTCTCTCTTGCTCTCTAGTTCTCCCTCTCCAAATACTTCACTCTCAACCTATGTTACATGGATTCGGGTACGGGTGTCGGACACGGGTATGTATCCATGCGTCGGAAGTGCCAAATCTCTAAACAGAAGGACACATGGACACGGCTACATATTCATTTTATTAATTATTTTATTTTATTTTCTAAAGTAAAGTAATGTTTTTATCTAATATAATGTTCAATATAGGCATTTAACTTATTTTAAAGTAATAATAAAATGTAATTAAATGATAGGATATGCTTTTTAAGTACATGTCCAACCAAAAGTGTCGGACACATATCCCATACCCATGTTGGAGGGATACGTGTTTGACACGGGTACTTCACTACTTTTGAAGAGTCCATGTAACAGAGCTCTCAACACTCCTAAGTTTCAATACTTATAACCATGGCACTCCTTCATATTTTAGCTTTGGAAGTACTCATAGCCGGTAGTGCTTTTGGTTCCGGCACTAAGATAGGCAAGGGCAAACGTATAAGGGATGATAGGTCACCACCCAATCCTCCTCCCAATCCTTGCACACATGGATTGCACATGTTTTAGCGTTACTTTTGGAGAAGAGGAAACGAGAAATAGAATTAGAATTTTTTGTAAATTAGGGCTACATAGTTTTGTTTCTTGTTATTTTTTATAATGTTTGGTTTTTAGGGTTATTTTGGAATTTTCAGATTTTAGGGTTTATTTTGGTTTGCTAATATTTTGACTATATAAAGGCCCATACGTAAAAAGACAATTTAGCTTTGATTATTAAAATATTATCATTGTTTAAGAATTTTGCCAATGTTTTCTTCTCCCTTAACGTTCTTGCTCCTCCCAACCCTTCAATCTATCTAACCTATCTTTTCAGTCTATCTTCTCATCTCTTTCTTCTAGCCTCATCTCATCTGTTGTCTTCTCATCCCATTGCTTTCCTTCTGTGGTACTACATCAACTTGGTATCACAACACTATTGTGATGGGGAACAAGATGCGATTCGCACACAAGTTGCATATGTTTCATTGTTACTTTCGGAGAAAAGTAAAAGAGAAATAGAAGTAGAAATTTTAGTAAATTTGGCTACATAATTCTATTTCTTGTTATTTTTGGTAATGTTTGGATTTTAGGGTTATTTTGGTATTTTCATATTTTATGATTTGTCAAGGTTTGCTTAATATTTTGCATATATAAAGGTCTATATGTAAAGACAAATTAGCTTTGATTATTGAATTATTATCCTGGTTTGAGATTTCTGTCTGTGCCACCTCCCTAATAATTTTTGCTCTTTTCAATTCTTCAGTGGATCCAACGTAACATTTTAACCTATCTTCTCGCTCCCTTTATTACTTGCATTGATAATGATGACACATATGAGCACTAATGATTAAGATGAGATCTGGGTTAGCCTTTTTTGAGGTAGTTGATGGTGACACTTTGCACTCAAAGATATGGTTTTGATTGATTTTGCAGTGAATGTTGCACAATAACCCACATCGTCTGAGAGAAGTTGATGCCTCCTACCCGTGTAAACGCGTTTTGAAAACCGTGAGCGCTTGTGCAACACAAAACGGACAATATTTATACAGTGTGGGCCAGGTCCTAATATATGGTATTGCAGCCAATCCTTAGCCAAAAATGAGGGGAGCATGGACAAACCTATGAGGCTCAAGCCAGCTAGGACGTTAGCTCCTAGGAGGGAGTGATTGTAACATCCCACATCGCTTGGGGGGAGAAGTTGCTGGCAAGGGGAAATTCCTCCTACCTATAGACACATTTTGAAAACCGTGGGCGCACAAAGTGGACAATACCCACACAATGTGAGCCGAGTATTGACAGTTACGGTGGTGGTGGTTTGAGGAGGGGTATTGGAAGGAATTTTCTAGATTTCATTGTGATAGTTTTGAAGAAGAAGATGAGGAGGTGTGAATTAGGGCTCAAGTTAAGGTTTGGTTTGCTCATTACAAAGTGGGATCAACGACGACAATCGTTTGGTGTTTTGTTTTTTTTGTGGGAGAGGCGATGGTAGGGTATGATTGGAAAGGTTGCAGGGAACAAAATGTTATGATTAAAGAGGGAGAGGGGAAGCAAGAGGGATTTGTGTGGTGTGAAATGATCCAAGAGTTGGTAAACATTTTGGATAATTTTTTTTACCCCATAAATGGAGGTGTTGTATTTCATTAAGATATAGCAATGAAGTACAATAGAACAGAGGGCATATCCTCTATAAAATAAACAAAGAAAAGAAGTGAGAAAGCCCACTTCCAAATTCCAATCAGCAAAAATGGAAACAGAAAAACCTTATTTTTTATTTTTTTCCGTTTATAAGTAAAAATAGAAACCGAAAAACAGCCTTACTCCAACAACTCAAACAAAGACATGGAAGCTGCATCAAGGAATTTTTCTATTAATTGGTATGGGTAATATGGTCATTTCAGACTCAAATATTTTTTTCATTAAAAACCATTATAAAATGAAGGGCAAACATTATATTTCCCACATAAATTTAATAACATTCTGACAATAACTTTGACAAGGGGTGTTTGTGTAGTTTTTTTGCAAACATAGCATCAAAGTGTATAAAGAGAGAACCTCAGGCAGTGTCGGTGTAATTTACCCTTATTTTTTCTTAGGCAAACAACCATAAAATTTGAACATTTTAGCATTAGAAAGAGAAAATTGAACCTATCACCTAAAAGTGTCACTTAGTAAGTCACTTGTACAAAAGAGAACTTATTTTATTAGACAGTGGAAAGAGGCATGGTGCATGCTTATTCTTAAGCACACAGTACACTCAAGGATGCATGATTTATTCAAATTTAAATTTATTAATATGAGGCTTGTATCAGGATTCAGTAGGTGATTTAACCTAGATGTGTGAACTTTAAAATAAAAGCCACCATCATTTTATGTTAGATTGTAGATTCCAACGCAATTTAACATCCACAAATACAATTGCTCAACAAAAGACTATTAGATTCTGACGTAATTTAACATCTGCAACTCCATTTGCTCGACAATTATCTTCCATGTGGGATAATTCTTGACACAAATTGTATACACATGTATGTATAAACTAAACTGCAGTTTTGTTAGCATTTAGAAACTAATTTTCCTGATTTTGCGAGTGGAAATAAAAAGGCAAAACTTGCTTTTGAGAAAAAATAAAACTACTTAACAAATTGAAAGCCAAATGATGCCCAAAATTAATTTGATCATGAATAAGCTTCAAAATGCCACAAATCTTTAGCTAATAAACACTCCATAACCAATCCATACATATAAAGTTTGAAAAAAAAAAAAATAAAAAAGAAAGAAAACTGACCTTCATGATGCCAACAATAGTCCCACTATAATTAGGAAAGTTGTGAACAGCAGTGACCACATTCGCAGTGTTGAAGAAAGTCTGAGCATGAGCCGCGAGAAGGATGTAGAGGCACATCACCAGCACGGGCGGCCGAGGAAGGACTCCGGTGACCGTAAGCCACATCAGGAAGTACCCCGCGAAGCACTGGATCGCTCCCGCGGCGAGAACGATCCACGGCCGGCTTTCACCGCGGCCGGTGGAGGCTGACGGCGTCGATGCGGCGGCGGAGTAGAGGAGGCCGGAGAGGAGTCCGGTGTTGGCGCCGAAATCCTTGAAGACGGAGATAGTGTCGAGAGTGGATTGATCGTAGTTTTGGGTGGATTTGAGGGCTGAGGAGTAGATTCCGAAGGTGTAGAGAGAACCACTGGTGCATTGGATCCATATGCTGGCGACTGTGGCTGTCCATTTGTTGTAGATTAGGGTTTGGATTTCCATTTCTTTGTCGCACCATGCATTGCCCTTCCTTCCAATTAGGACGGTTGAGTACTTGAGTGTTGCTCTTTCTTGGGTTGCTCGTGGTTTTGTCTCCATTGACACTTGTAGTGTACAACATGGATATACTGTTACTCTACATACAATTATTGGGTAAAGTTTAAAAATCATCCGTTGTCCATTTGCAAATAATTTAGTAATATAGTACTCAAGCACAAATTCATCACAAAATATTATTTTATTTTATTTTATTAAAGTTATTATTTCTTATTAACTTATTTCTTATTACATTTCTCTTATTCAAAATTAATTATACCATTTACCTTAATTTTAAAATTAGTATCAATTTATCATAAAAATGAAAAATAATAAATAGATTAGTAGCTACGTACCAGTTTCTAAAATGATTAACTTATTATAATAAAACTTATTATACACACATTAAAAAAAATTAGTGTAAAAAACATACCTTCTTTTTCATACAATATGTTGATCTTAATGATTTCATCTAAGGATAATCTAGAGGTTTTGATAATAACAAACCATTAATGGTGTTTAAGGACTAATGTTTACATTGAGTGTTATAGATTATTCACATTCAAAGAATGACCTTAATGAAGATCATAAAGTCAATCCCAAGTATTCCATTATTCAAGATCATATCTATGGAAAACAAATGAGACAAAAGGAACATGAAATTGTAAGAAACCAAATGCAAAGTCCATCCAAAGATAGCTTAGACTACAATGAGTAAAAAAACAACTCAAAGAAAGGAAGAAAGCAAGTCTACCTGAAAGCCTACACGATCATGGACAAAGCATGAAGAAAGGGGTAGATAGGATGGTGAGTATTTATGATTCAATGTCAAAGTATTTATGAATCCATTTGAAACTCATCTCTATAGGACCATGCATATCATATCATCATTCATATGTTCCTATATATATTAGTAATAGACTATACACTTCATTCGTATATAATCGCACTGAAGTCATTACTAAAGAGTGAGTTAGTTCAAGTTTGCATAAACTTTGAAAGAACTCATCACTTGTGCTAGAAATGCTAAGACCATGCACATCAATCATATAATTCATATTAGTCAACAATTAAGGTATGAGAAGTCTTCATTACTATGAGTTGGTAACGGACATTAGGACCCCAAAATGCATGTTATGAAAAACTGTGTTTTTGGCTAAGTGTGAAAAATCGAATTTTAAAATAATCATTATTTCAAAATAATTTTTCCCGATAATAACTCTTTATACTTCAACTAGCCTAAACTGATTTTATCAGAATTTTTGACCAAGTCTATATTGGTCTACATAAGGATTCATTTTTACCAAAACTGTCGGAAATCCAAATTTGTACTAAAACTGAATTTCTACATTTTGATTTAGTTGGATTTCAATTTTCTAGTATTTTTTATTGAATCCAAATGGGGGGTATTTCCTTATTTACAATGTAAACTTAAAGTAAATGGACATATAAAATGGAAATAACTTAGAACAATTTCTGAAGCAGCAGTTCCATTTCGGCCTACCAAAATAGAGAACCTATTTATTTCGGTTTACCGAACTAAGTAAATGAAAGAACACTACTAGGTGTTTCAGATGACCGAACTAAGAGGCAAATGAATCAGACGAGCTGATTCTCACAGAATGGTTTGGAACAATGGAGGAAGGAGTTTCAGACGATCGAAACAAAGGAAAGAACCTTTGGTCTACCGAAATAAGAATGATGGCCAACCATTAAACTATTTCGGACGACCGAAACACAAATGTGTTTTATTTCAGTCGACCGAACCTGCACAGATTCAAAATTGAACAGTTATTTCCTCTCGAGCAGTGTGCACAACAGCTATATTTTTGAATTAGCTGCATCTAAACTCTATAAATAGAGTTGGGGACTTTGGGATTTAGTGTTGCTACACTTAAGAAACATCTTCTAGCATCATAAGAGCTTTTGTTCTTCATTCATATCATACTTTCTCATCCTATATCATTCATAGAGTATTGAGCTTCAATCTATTCATATATATACTCTAGAGTGAGCTGAAAGTTGTGAGCTTTGATTTGCATATCAATCTTTGAGAGATATATTTGCATGTAACAAATTTGATCTTCATTTGTAAGGGCTGGTTTGGCCCAAGAAAGAAGAAGCAAGCTTGCTTCAATTTGTAAGGGTTGGTGTGCCCAAAGGAAGACTAAGAGAGGTTGTTTCTTAGCAAAGTGAAGTAAGGAGTTGCTTCATGTAAAGGTTAGTTCTCCACCCATAAGGCAGTGCCATAGTGAATTGGGAAGTCTCAAGAGGGGTCTTGAGCCGAGGAGTAGGAGTTTCCGAACCTCGCTAAAATTACTGTGTGAATGTTTGCAAATCTCTCTTCCCTTATCTCATTTACATTTATGCTATTAATAGCTTATGCCTATATATTAAATATTGTATAATTGTTTGAAGGTTTTAAGTAGAATTTGCAAATTGAAAAATTGGCCATTATTTGCCATAAACTCTATTCACCCCCCTCTAGAGTCAATACTTGGGCAATACAATATTCATGAAAAATTAATAAATTACGTAAATAAAAAATATCTTATTTTTTGTGCAATATATTCATGAAAAATTAAGAAATTACTTAAATTATTTCAAAATTTTCTATTTAAGATTTTTATTTAAATAATTAATTTCAAAATTAGAGACAAAATTATGCAAATTTAATGGAGAATATTTCATCAAATTAGTATGAATTTTTTTTTTTTTTTCGTAATTTATTTCAACAAGAAAAATAGATCAAGTATAATACAATAAAAAAGGGTACTTGGTCATTTCATAAAAAAATAGTCTAGGTAATGAGACATTTTGCAACTAAATGCGAGAATTAAGGGGGTATTATGCACAAAACATACTCCATGAGGCTTATTTGCAAATTTGGACATAGTTCTCCGCCGGGGGGGAGGGGTTGCACTTTACCCAACATTATTTTATAAAAATAAATAAATAAATTATGTTTACCTCCCTCTGGATAGGAAATTTCACGGACTTGTCCTGAATATTAGAACATTACAATTACCTTCTATAATTTACAGATTTGTAACAAACTGACCCCTGTTGTCAATCACACAACAGGCCAACTGTTAGCCCAATGGCATTTTTGTAATTTTGACAAAAAAATGAAGTTTGGAGTTCATATTCGGGAAAATTATGTGAGCTTCCTTAAGGCTCTAGAAGTCTTGTGAAGACGAAATTCAATTTGGAGTTTGGGAAGTATTTATTTTCCTATTATGACTCCTTAGATATGGGTTATGTATCCTATTGCCAGTCTGGTGACTCTTACTTTTACATGTATATCTCATGCATGGTTAGGCCGTGGCACGCCCTAGCACTAAAGCATGCATAGGGGCATGCCAACATGCTTAGGCATAGTTCACACCACCCAAAGGTGGTAACACACGGATGGCATTCGGCGGTGGCTGGCAACACTAAGGACAGGTGCACATGCATGTTATGCGCGCACGCGTTGGTTTGCAATTATGTGTCCCAAGCCTTATGCATGGTTTGGTAAACCAACACATATGGAATCTTAGGCATGCAAACTTGCCCTTGTGCAAGATTGTGGGCTTTGACATACATGGTGTACGTGGGCAAGGTTCAATGCAATACCCCAACATGCCAAGGTGCGGGAGAACCTATGAGCATGGATTGGCTTGGTCAATATTATTGAGTTTGGCATAGGCTACGCTCTACACGGTTACCTTAGATGGTGTTAATAGCATGGACCACAAGTCATGGGTGTGGCATGGCCAAGTCAAGGGCATGGGCACAAGGCAATGGGCTTAGACGTGGCTTAGCATACAAGGGTGGCTCAGAGGGTTCAAACATGATTTAGAAGGTTGAGGGTGGTTAATGTCACCTTATACACATGTGCTGACATTGTGGGGAGTGGGGGTGTACCCAGTAAACACACCCATGCAAGGTGGCATAATCAGATTGGGCCAACACACACAGGTGGTTTCAAATTGTTCTAGACATGGTGGTCAGTCCTCTTGCATTGCTAGGGTAAGGGAGACATGGGGCTTATACGAGGAACCACCAAGGACAGATGGCAAGGCTGGCCAGTAAGCTAGGCAGTTGGGCTTGTTAACTACAATATAGTGCTGGCACTAGCACTACCTTAGGTGGATGGGGTTGTCATCGACTGACCTTGGTGGTAGTTGTGAGCCTTTTTAAGAGTTTACCTACAAATAGGTTTGTGGGTTTTGTTGTAAGGCAGAGAAGTGTGGTGTGACACTTGTGTAAGTTTTCTGTAAACATTATGCCTTTCCTTTGTACTATTTTGTGAATAATAGTAGAAGGTTGGAAGCTTTGGGTTTTTGCAAATTCGTGGGTGTTCTTTATTTTACATTCCTATAAATTATAATTGTGTGTTGAAGTGTTCTACTTGATGTGTGTCTTAGGCAGCAAGTTTGGGTTGGCTGAGCTAAGTTAGAGAAATGTTTTTTTTTTTTTTTTTTTTTAATTGGCTTAGTGCCATCATAGGGTTAGGAGATTAGTATTCAAACTCCACCCCTGTGATAGTTGGTATTAGAGCTCGGAGTTGAGTCCAACATGGTTGGTGGAAATGATGCAAAAGCACTTCGGATTGGGTGTCTCATTTGGAGGCCTTAGTGGGTGCTCCATAATCTGATGGTGTAAGCAAAATTGGCTATAGTAGAGTTGAAGACCTTACGATTAGTTGTTGAAGAGTTTGTGGGGGAGACAAACTCGAAAATGGAGGCTATTACAAAAGGTTTGGGTCATTACATATAGGATGGTAAATGACTAAACTATCCCTAAGGAACATTATAAGGCACTAAGCACAGTACGAATGGTTATAATACAGAATTGTAGCACTGTAAGCATGGATTTGACATTAAAAGTGTAAACACTGTGAAACACAAGAAACAACAAAACTTTTTTATTTTTATTTTCTGTGATTATAGGAGTAGTGATCATGCAATGGTACCTAACGAATATATGAATGAATGTTTTGATAATTCATGCCTAGGGAAGACGAGTTGTGTTGTATGGTAAATTAGAATAGTTAGGTAGACAATTTGTGCCAACCGAAAATGAGTTATGGCTTAG